GATCAATCACAGCTGTGGCTCACCCAGGCGGCTGCATCTTTCCACCAGCCCCTCAAGGGCAGTCTGTGCTCTGGCGGTGTCATCCCATTGCCCATCATGCCCTGTCTCCCCGACTGTCCGCCAGAGGCCAGCCACCCAGCAAAAATGGGAAGGTGCGCCAAGGAGAGAGCCCGGCTCCAAGACCAAGTGCTGGGGACCCAGGCAGCTCCCCACCTCCAGGACTCAGTCTCCCCATCTATCCGGGGGAGAGCAGACTGGAAGGCCTCAAGGTCCTCAGCCCTGCGTGGGCTGCACCATATTCTGCCGGCCCCTGTGCTCCACCCATGCAGTGTTGGGGCTCCGGGATGGGGCCAGGCCGGGAGCCAGTGGGACTGCCATCTACTCACTCAGCCATGGTGAAGGCCAGCTCGAAGTTCTTCTGCCGCTGCGTGGGGCTCAGGGCGCTGTAGTCGAAGGCGTCGGGGAAGAAAGAGTGCACCAGGGCGCAGAAGGCCATCCCGTCACTCCAGCTGGAGGAGAAGTTCTGCAGGTCCACGTGCTGCGAGCAAGGCGAGGTCCATGCCGCAGGTGAGGGGGTGTGGCCCACTTCTCCAGCCCCTGCTCCAGGGCCAGCATCCACTCAGCTCAGCCACAGCCACCAGCTACAGTCACCGGACCTCACGCCACAAGGGGCACTAGACCAGTGATGGCGAACCTTTTGAGCTCAACATGTCAGCATTTTGAAAAACCCTAACTTAACTCTGGTGCCGTGTCACATATAGAAATTTTTTGATATTTGCAACCATAGTAAAACAAAGACTTATATTTTTGATATTTATTTTATATATTTAAAGGCCATTTAACAAAGAAAAATCGACCAAAAAAATGAGTTTGCATATCACCTCTGACATGCGTGTCATAGGTTCGCCATCACTGCACTAGACCAATCTACATGGGTCCAGACACAGGACTCCTGGGATCTGCTAGGGACTAACTGGGGAGGCACAATTTCTCTAGCTCCTAGCCCCACCCCACCCTGCCAGGTGATGCTTAGCCAAGCCCCTGGCCGGGGGCCCAGGGGCCAGGGTGGGACCAGGGCTCACCTGGTAGCCCAGTGTCTTGTTGCGACACCACTCGAGCAGGATCTGCTTGATGCTGCTGGCGCTGGCCACCCCGAAGCTCTGGGACCGCTTCAGCTTGGCCCGGGCCTCGCCTTTGCCCCTGTGGAGGGAGTGCAGGCCTGCCGTGGGGGCCGTCATTTCCACTGAGAAGCAGGGGAGTCCCCAGCCACCCCACTTCGCCAGGTAGGTGGCCCCACCGCTCTGCTCACCCAGGGAGACGCTCTGTCAGTACACAGCCTCCCTCACCCCCGTGTCCAGGCGTGAGCCCTGCGTACCAGCTACACAGCCGCCCTTGACGGTATCTGGAAGGACCATCGCCCCTTCCGGCCTCCAGGTGCCCCTGGGAACCCCTCCTTCTGAGCCTCCCTCTGAGGCCACCCATGCTGATGGCTCTTTCCTAACCTAGAAGGATGGTTTCCTCTTCTGGGCCCCAAGGACACCCCCTAACAGCCGAGATGGGGTTGTCTGGGCCCTGGGGACACTCCCTGGGTCTGTCTCCCTCACTAGAGTCGGAGCCTCGGGAGCCAGCACTGGGGTCCTGTGGTCATCACAGACCTGGGCTGCCCCCTGCAAGCAGCAGGTGTCACTATCCCGCACTGACAAGAGGGCCCGGTAAGTGCAAGGGTGGGTCCCGTCTCTAAAGGGAGGCATGACAGCAGACCGGTGGGCGCTTGGGTCCTGGGTGTCACCTCCCAGCTCCTGCTGGGAATCCCAAGGGACTGTCCTCCTGGCCTTCTGGTCTCTCCCAGAAACCACAGGGACTACAACTCACAAGGAACTTGGGCATGAGGGCAGCCCGGGAACCCCCCCTGGGGACTGGGCAGAGAGGAGGACTCTCATCAGGCCGTGCCCGGCTCCCAGCCCACCTGTGGCCAGGCACTGACCTTGTGTCTCACCCAAGAGGTCACACCTTAGGGAAGGACCCCAGGGAACAGCTCAGGGCCAGCAGTCCTGCCTGTGCCTTGTGGAGCCCAAGCGGGGTCTGGGCCTACTCTGGGGGCCCAGCCTGACCTGAGGACTAGTGTCCGTACTTGCCCACTGTGTCCTGCTCCCACTTCTCAAACAAAGCCTTCCGGGCCTGCGCACTGGAGGTCCGGGGCAGCGTCTGCGACCTCACCAGCTCCCGGCGATGGGCCTGAGTGGCGGCTGGCGGCTGCGGGGATGGGGGCGACTGGGGCGGCGTCACCAGAGGGGGGCTGAGGAGAGAACCACGAGTCATCACCCCCTCCCACAATCACTAGCTCCCATCACCAGCCATCACCCCCTCACCCAGGCCCGGGCCCCTCCTCCCACTGAGTGTGAGATGAGGCAGACATGGGGGCTTGGTGGCAGGCGGAGGAAGAAAGCGCCACCTGCTCCAGGCCCTGACCGGTTAGGCAGGTTTTCCGAACTGAGTTGCTGTCTGAAGCAGGAGGGAGAAGGGCCCCTCACTGGGTGAGGGTGTCAATGCCCACGGCAGGCAGGGGACACCCTTTGGGGTAGGAGGTGCGCCCAGAACCGGTCCCACCAGAACCAGACTTCCCTCCTCCACCGCCGCTAGATAAGCCCCCCTTTTGTCCTCCTCCTGGAACAGCTTGCCAGAAAGTCACAATTCTTGTATTATTAAAAGAAAAAGGAAAGCCAAGCCAGTCCCCCATCCCCATCTCCAATCACAGTCCAGCCGGCCTGGGGGAACACGGGGACTCCCGCAGGGCAGGAAGGAGGAGGCCTGAACCGCAGCCTACGGCCTCTCCAGGTGCCTTCCCAGGCCAGGGGCAGGCAGCAGCCGGCTCTGAGGGACCCTGGCCAGGCTGGGTGGATAAAGAGGAGAGTGGAGATCCTTCCTCCAGGGGAATGGAGACACCCCTCCCGTCTTTCAACAGACTTGTCTTGAAGGGTCCACAGGAAAACCAGCCTGCAGCCATATTTCTCTAAGCAAAACTCTCCACCGAACACCACTGCCTCACTTTCCCTGCTCTGATCCTACCCAGCATCCTGCTGCCTCAGTTCTCTGGAGGCCACAAGCCCAGGAGGGTGCCTTCCCCTGGAGTCTGCATGGGGAGCTCCCTGCAGGTGGCCTGGGCACCCTGGGTCCAAGCCCAGATGACACCAAGGGAGCAATGACCCCCATCCCCCCACCACCACCACCAGGAACACCCCCACTCACCTGTCATTGCTCCTGCCTGCTGTCACTGCGCCATAGCCAGAGCCCAAGGACCGTGGGAGAGAAGAAATCTTCTCTGCAGGACAAAGGGAGGGAGAGAAACAACAAACCCTGGTCTCAGGGAGGGCCAGCCCCCGCCTGCCTCCCTCATCTGACCCGGCTCTGCACTGTTTACCCAGCATCACTCCGTGGACACGGAAGACCCCTGAGCTAAGCTGGCCCCACCTCAGCCCACAGTTGTGAAGAAAGGAGGTTGGGAACATTGAGCGATGACATGAAAGGTCTTGTAAAGTGCTCCCACCTGCTTTTGGGAGCACAGGGCCCAGGGCCTCCCGTGCTGTGCATCCAGCAAACCCTCACTGTGGAGGCCCATGTGGTCCCCCCCCCGGGTCTACCACCGAGGCCTGACCACAGGCCCAAGTCGGGCCTGGAGGGGACTACGCCCAAGTGTGCAGGGTAAAGACCGCCTTCTAACCACAGCCTCGACCTGCAATGAAAGCCACGGCTATCACCTGCCAAGGACGCTGCTGCTTTATGTCCTCTCTGGGAGAGGATTCTGGGAAGGATGGAGGGTGAGGACGGGCTAAAGAAGGGCGTGTCAGGCGGGGGAGCTGGGGCTTGACCCCAGATTTTCTGAGTCTGTGACTAAACAACCCCCAGCCCCTGCCCACCCTCCCAGACCAGAGTTGGGGTCTCCCCTGCTCCTACCACTGGGACTTAGAGTCCAGGGTGTGGTGGCCTCACTAGGGCTCGAGCTGAGGCCCCCCAGGACGGCAGCAGACGTGGGCGAGAGAGCTGTGGCTGAAGTCTCTCCAGAGAACCTCTCGGAGACCCGCATGACGGCCGTGACTGGCTGGTGTGGCAGCCCCAAGGAGAGGCTCATGGGGCGAGGCTTGGGGGGCTCTGGTGCCCGGAAAGTCTGGGTGGCCTCAGGGGGTCCATCACCTGGACCTGCAACATGTGACAAGAGAGAGGTGGTAGTGTCAGCCAGGCATCCACTGGGGCTGGAGACTCCCTGAACCCCCTCCCCACCTCCTCCAAGAAGGCCTCCCTGACCACCTCTAATGGGATTTTTCACTGCTCCAACCAGAGCTGACATCGGGTCCAACTTCCCCTCACAGCCAGGTCAATGAACACTAGATGGCCTGTCCGTCCACTCTCTACCCTGCTCAGGCCTGGACAATCCCTCAGCCCCTGCTTGCATCCCTCCAGAAACAGGAGAGCTCACCCCTCCCAGGATCTCCCAGCTCCCTCTGTGTTGACATCTCCTTCTCTCTGAATGAGGCTGCTCTCCTGGCAGCCTCTCCATGTGTCAGGGTTTATGCTCAAGTCCCCCCACCCAGCCAAGGGGGGGCCTGGCACAGATGCATGGCTGCCAAGGCCCTGACCCCAGAGCTACCCATCCTCTGCAGCCGGCCCCTACCTGCTCCTGGCTGGTGCCCGTTCTCGATGACGCACAGGTTGGAGGACCTTCTCATCTCCGACTCGCTGGCTTCATCATGATGATCCACACTCTAGAGAGACAAAGAAACAGCAAAGGCCCAGTCAGCCAGGGCCCGCCGCCCCCCCAAAATCGCTCCCCAAAGCCCTCCTGATTTGGGCAGAGCAAACAACATTCATAGGTGAGGGAGGGAGCCCGCAGGACATACCATGAGAGGCCAACAATACACAGCAAACTGGGGCAAACCCAGCCCCAGCTGTTGAGCCCCTGGGATCCTGTGAGGCAAGCACCGCCTCCATTGGCCTCATCTCAGAACCCCAAAATGCTAGGGACAAAGGTCAAGACAGAGAGGGTTCCAAAGGAGTGCGCAAGATGGCCCCGCCCCCATCCCAGGCTGGACCAGATGACTGGGGTCAGGAGAGTGTGGCTCCAGCTCATCCCAGAGGGGCAGGCTGGCCGGGCTGTCTGTGTGGCAGCAGCTGAAATGCAGAGACATATGCAAGCTTCTTCTGGGCCCACCACGGGCACTGGAGCCCTGCTGCGGCCTTTGCATTGACACAGGGGCACAAATTCACCCAGAGGTCCAGGGCACAGGGCCTGACTGGCTTCACACTGCAGAAGTGGGGGAGGGGTGCAGAGAGCGTGCCAAGACCAAGAGCCAGCGGGAGTGCCTGGCATCCCGGCTGGGCTGCCAACCACCAGGTGACCTGGGTGAGGTCATGCCCCCCTTGAGTCTGTTTATTTGTTTGAAATATGGAAGTAGGCTATGCAAGTGCCACTTGAGATCTACCAAGTGTCAGGCCCTCTTCCCGGGCATGCAGCTTACACCAGCTTGCCCTGCCCTCCCAGATGGGTGCTACCAGCCCCATTGTACAGATGGGAGATGAGGGCAAGGAGGGGGATGTACACACGAGAAAGAGCTGAAGGTTATCAGCTCCGTGTTTCAGGGACATCCTTCAGAAGCCGGAAGGGAGTGGCATGGGAGGGGAAACCAGATGGCCAGCCACCTCACTAGTCCCAGGTGGGGTGATGGGACAGCGGGAGAGCGAAGGGCAAGAAGGACTCAGAGCTTTGCGGAGAGTGCGTGGACGTGGAGAGAAGAGAGGGCGCCACTCTCCTCCAAGCCCCGGCTTCCGGTGTGAGTGATGTGGCTAGGAAGGGAAGGGACGCTGGTGGGGACATAATGACTTCAGTTTGGGACATGAGAGGGTACGGTGCCCTGGGGCATCAGGGAGTTGAGGTCAGGAAGTAGCTGGATATTTGAGCGTGAAGTTTAGGAGGAAGGACGGACAAACAATGAGGAAGCAGGGGTCTCAAATCCAGGGCACAGCAGAGGGAGAGCTGGCCTGGGGCTGATGGGGCCAGGGCTGCGGCACCACATTTGGGGGGCAGAGAGACATCTGAGAGGGAGAAGGCACAGGCAGGCAGGCAGGGAGAAAACCAGAAGAATGTTGAGAAAGGCAGGTGGAAGTGTATCAAGAGGTCAGGCATGTCTGCAGCATCCAAAGGTGACCTGAGGTCAAGGAAAAGAAGGTCAAGATGAGATCTAAAAAGCAGCCGTTGGGTTTAGCAAAAAGGAGGTCACTGGGGCGGTTAGGGACTGAATCAGAGGTGAGGGCAGGGCACAGGAGATGGCCTGGGGGAGACGCTGGGGAGAAACAGAGACCACACCGTCAGTTTAGCCCTGAGGGGAGAGGAGCAAAGGGGTCTGAGGGGTTCCTTCAGATGGAAGGGGTAGGGTGCCATTTATAGACTGAGAGGGGCTCCAGAAGGTGAGGGGATCCTCTGCAGGGTGGGGTCTCTGGGGAAGTGAGAGAGGACAGGCCTCAAGAGACTGGCCTTGGAGAGAAGATGACTCCTCAACTTCTGATTCAGGGGGACAGAAGGGGAGGAGCCACACCTACGCCAAGGAACAATAGAGAAGGAGGGGGTGCATCTCCTGGCATTCCAGCATGGGGAGGGCACCCCTAGGGCCACACCATTGCTAACTGGAAGCCAGAGCAGCAGGAGGTGGAGAAACAGCCAGTCCCTCCTGAACCCCAGCCCCCACCTATCTCCGTGTCCCTCCATCCATCTTGCTCTGGTCCAGCAGGTTCTACAGGTCCAGGCAGGGGCTTGAAGGGACAGGCTGATGATGAAACCATTTTCCCAAGAAGGTGGGTCTCTACTGGGGGGGACCCCCATAGCCACCTGCCCCTGCATGTTGCAGGCCCACACCCCATGATGCCCCCGGGGACCAGATGTCACAACCAGACAGGAAGGTGGCCCCGAACCAGCCAGATTCCTGCCAAGGGTCTCAGCAAAGCGGAGGGAAAGGGGTCGGGCGAATGCATGCTGGGAGGGCCCACGGCAGCTGCCCCGAACTCCCCATCCCTGTGCCTGGAGCCACTCCTCACCCAGGGAAAGGGCTCGCCCACAGCTCAAGCCGAGGGTGGAGAAGGTCACCCCTAACTTCAAGCCTGGACTAAAGGTCCAGCAGAATTAAGGGTTGGGACTCGTGTCTCCTGCCCCAACACAGAGCTCTGGCCTTTGGAGGGCAGAGGGGACACTTAAGACAAACTGTCTCCCAGGACCTCGGGCAGGGAGAGGCATCTGCATCAGACGAGGGGGAGGAAAAGTGTGAGTGTAAGCACCCTAGCGGGACCTGAGCCCTTACGCCAGCGGTTCTCAGCCTGTGGGTCGCGACCCCCTTTGGCCATTGAATGACGCCTAAGACCATCCTGCATATCAGATATTTACATGACGATTCATAACAGTAGCAACATGACAGTTAAGAAGTAGCAATGAAAATAATTTTTTGGTTGGGTCACAACATGAGGAACTGTATTTAAAGGGCCAGAAGGTTGAGAACCACTGCCTTAAGCCAAGGAGCCGAGAGGGGCCGGAGCAGAGGCAACCAATCGTGTCTCTCTCACACTGATGTTTCTCTCTCTCTCCCTCCCTCCGACCTCCAACCCACTCTCTCTAAAAAAAAAAAAAAAAATCAATGGGAAAAAAAAATATCCTTGGGTGAGGATTATTTTTAAAAGGGGAGGCTCCCTGTGCGGGAGCCCGGGCCTGGGAATGTTAGAGGCATAGGCAGGGATGCGATAAGTCTGATTTCAGAGACTCTCACTGAGGACGTTTTAAACACTTTTGTGAGAGCAGGAGCAGTATCTCAGGCACCCTCGGTGCCGCGTGATCCCACACAGGCCCATGTGTGGACACGGGAGCCCAAGCATGAGCCCATGCGTATGTCCAGCCCAGCCCAGACGGCCAGAACCGCCATTCTAAGCCAGTTAGCACGGCTGCCCGCTCTCCCCCTCCTTCACACCATGGTTTTAAAGACTCAACTCAAACTTCTCCCCAAAGCATTTAACTCCCTTATCACACAGTGTGTCTGGGAAAGGAAGGCAGATAAGGCGAGTCTGGTTTCTTTCATGATCAGCCTGACACCTCGCTCCTGGCAGTGGTTCCTAAGGGACTCCACCACCTCGGCCATGAGGACCCAGCGGCTCCAGCTCAGCCGAGAGGGCATTTCCAGGGAACAGCTGTGGCCTGGCCTCCAGCCTGGCCTCGGCCGCGGCCATCCACCGAGGCCCCCAGCCGGCTTCCTTCACCCACTAGATCACAGCTGTGGCTCCACAGACACTCTGGTGAGCAGTCTGGGCTGATGCCCCTGTTATAATCACCCACCCTGCTCCGTGCGAGGCCCAGCTGGGCTGGGACAGTGCCCCCTGGTTTAGATACAAGGCAACTGAGGTCTAATTGGGAGGAGATGTCCTCAAGGCCTCAGCAAATGCCCCCAAACCAGCTCCACCTGCTCCAGGGACGCAGGCCTCCTGCATGGAGTGTTCCCTGGTGACTCCGACCCCACTGACCTGCCCTCTCCCTGTCCTGGAGCCTCCCTGGCTGCTCTTCTGTCTCCTCACTCCCTGGCTCCCATCGGACCTCTGTAAGCCTGGCGAGCAAGGTCCTTAGCAAGGTCAGGGTTTTCGTACTCAGGGTTCAGGGCACACTGACATGCTGAATATGACCCACTTCCCACCCCGACGGTCCCCACTTTAAAACAGCGGGATGCCAACTGGTCTCCCAATCTCAGTGCTGTACAGATGGGCAGCACAGCACAGCCTCCACACGCCTGCCCACAGCCACCACTGGCCAGAGTGTGCGAACGCGACCCTCACACCCAGACTCCCCTGGGACAGAGACACAGTGACGGTGTGTGTGTGTGTGTGTGTGTGT